CTTCCCAACTGCATGCAGCACAGCTCCCCAGGGAGCCTGGCTTTCCCGACGTGCCCTGCAAGCCAGGCACCAGCAGCAGGTGCTGTCCCAGAGCTGTGAGCCCTTTGCCAGCTGGTACCAACGGCCTTGGTGTCAGACACACCCCTCGTCTCCACGTCCACGGCCTGTCCCACCACCTGATCACCTCCCAGACCCCACTGGGCCAACTCCGCCTTTGCCCTGCCAGTGGGACAGCAGACACTGGCCACTTGCCGCAGTTCCCACCTTTGCACTTTCTGCCCGGCTGCCCTCACACGCAGGGCAAGCTCCCCTTCAACTCCGCAAGGCCACCTCATTGGCGCCGTCCAGCTCCCTACAATTACCCCACAGCCGCCCCGAGACCATTCTCGTCTCCCTGCCCCCTCGTGCTCCGCCATCTGCTCTCTCATCTCACCCGTGGCCTGTGAGCTCCTGGGGCAGGGACTGCCCCCGTTAGATGCTTGCAAAGTGCCCAGCGTGGTGGGGCCCCAATCTCGGAGGGGGGGGGTCTGGGCAGCCAGCTGCATGGACACAAATCAAGCCATGCCAGGGCTCCAGGTGAGCGTGACTGATGGGGGGTGATAACCAGGACTTGCTGTGGGGCCAGGCCCCTCGCTCTGCAGGAGCAATGGGGGAACCCTGTAGCTCTCGCTGTGGAGCTGGGCCCCTCACCTCAGGGGATGGGGGGAACCCTGTAGCTCTCGCTGTGGAGCTGGGCCCCTCACCTCGGGGGATGGGGGGCCCTGTAGCTCTCGCTGTGGAGCAGGGCCCATCACCTCGGGGGATGGGGGGCCCTGTAGCTCTCGCTGGTTTTGGCCCCAGCCCAGTGTGGCTTCTCCAGCTTTCTCTCTTCTGAGAATTGCAGCTGTCAGCTCTGTGGTTTCTCTGGCTTCTGCTTTTTGTGCTGTCGGGGGCTGCCCTGCAGGGCTGGGGGCGAATATATACGGGCCACACACAGCACACCCCAACCCTGCCACAGCACCAGCCTCCCCAGCCCCGCGAGCAGCAGAGAGCACCGACCCTCCGAGGTGAGGCTGGACGTGATGTGTGTGTGCGGGGAGGGGGAGCCAGCGGGCAGCCTGAGGGCAGGACAGGGCACAGCTCTGACCCACGAGCCGGGGAGCCAGCTGTGGACTCCACTCCAGGGGAAGGGCTGGGAGCCCCAGGGCCAGGGGTGACAGCCCAGGGAGGCCCTAGGGAGTGCGCTGCCTTCTCTGGTGCTGGGGTCCGTAGAGTTTGGGGCTGGGGAGGGGGCTGCAGAGGAAACAGCTGCCATGGCCCACTGCAGGCTCTGGGGGTAGAGTCTGGCTCGACCCTTTCATGCTCCCTGATCCATGGGGCTCTCTACCCCTCCCCCAGTGCTGGGCCCCCTCTCCTACCTGCCCGGGCCCATCACTTCGTCCTCTTCAACAGTACAGCCCACTGCCTTCTCCAGCATCCGCTTCTTTGTGGACCCCTCTCTGCCGCCCCAGGCCCTGGCTGCACAGACCCCAACTCCCATCCCAGAGAACGGGGCCCCCATCATGCCAGGCACAGCACAGCCCCACGCCCTGAGATCAGGACCCCATCACGCCAACTATGGCACAGCCCCCTCCTCCCGCCCCAAGATCAGGGCCCCGTTGCATTGGATGTGGCACAGACAGACGACAGTCCCGGCTACACAGACTAAGGGCCCTGGCTCCTCGTGGCCCTGACTGCTCCTGCAGAGGGGGTCCCCCAGGACTCCCCAGGGCCCCCTGCCCATTGGCTGGGCCCCTCACACGGTGGTTGGGAGTCTTGCAGGCAGGGGCTGAGCGCTCAGGCCTTGGGGCTAGTCTCAGGGTCCTGGGACTTGGTGGCCGGGCCGTTGGGATGTGGAGCTCCACGCAGGTGTCCGTGCGAAGCACTAACTCTGCCCCTCTTGCCCCACAGATGCTGATGCTGGTGGCCCTGGTGCAGGTGCTGTGTGTGGTCCCTGCTGCAGCCCTGACGGGCTTCCCCAGCAAGTGTGAGTCACACCCTAGGGAGGGTGATGGGGAAAAAGACTGTGTGTGGGCATGCAGCACACCTGGCCTCTGTGGCAGGGGCGGGGGGGAAGCGCAGGGCCCTGGGGGGTAGGGGTACACTGGCCCCCTGGGAATAGGGGAGGGGGACACAGGGCATGCCTGGCCCCCTTTGGGAGTCGAGGGGGGAGGCACAGGGGGCACAGGGCCCTGGAGGGGGTAGGGGTATATCTGGCCCCCTGGGGGGTGGGCACAGGGTACACCCTGCCCAGGGAGGGGGTGGGGGGTTGCAGCCCTTGTGTCTGACCTGCCCCCGCCCCACGCCCTGGGCGCTGACGCGGCGGGTCCCTTTCTCCCCAGTTCTGGTCGGGGAGGTCAATAGCCAGGTGGTGGTGACGTGCGACACCCCCCAGGAGCACGTGTCCTGGAAGCAGAACGGGGAGCCCGAGATCATGGCTGAGCACTACGTCGCCGGCCGCACCCTCACGCTCGAGGGCCTGGACCAGCCGGCCACCGGCAACTACACCTGCTGGCACGGCCCTCGCCTGCTGGACTCCACCTACGTGGTGGTCAGCGACCCGGAGTACCCCCTGCTGCAGGACTCCCCAGGTGCCTGCCATGGGAGGGCGGGGTGGGGGTGAGAGCCAGGAACTCCAGCTCCCCTGGGGCTCCGCACCCACAGGACAGGCGGGGGCAGCGCCCAGAGCTGTCTGCTACCAGGGTGCAGAGCGGGGGGGCACCAGCCGGGGGGTCAGGCTGTCAGGGGCGGGGGGCACCAGCCG